CATCCCAGCTGCCATCCTTGAGCCTGTGACTCGGTTGTCCCCCCCCCGTCTTAGTCAAAGTAAAACTCCCCGAGCGAGCGGAGGCACGTCAGGCACTTCCCGCTCTCGGCACAGCCCCAGACTCCAGAGCCACGAGCAGCACGGCCAGCTCAGCACCCTCCGCTGCGATGCTCGCACTGAATGGGCTGTGCTTGCTCCTGCGCAGGTACCTGCCGGGGAGGACATCCCTCCGCATCCCACCCTACCCAGCTCCCTGATCCTCGTGCCCCCCGGGCGAGAAGCGGGGCTGCAGTGCAGGTGTAGGAGCAGGAGGGACATGTGTCCAGCAGCAGGGCACAGGGGGAAGAGCTCTGGGGAGCCGGAGAGCCATGCCATGGTGCTGTGCCCCACAGCAAGGAGGGCTGAGGGGACAGGAGAAAAGCCCAGGCGCGCTCCAGTCCACATCTGAGCTCTGCAGCAGAAAGCCCCAAGGAGGAGAGGGCACCCGGAGCCCTCCCTGTCCCCAGCCGGCAGCTCGCAGCAGCGTAAGGGAGCAGGGACTAGGGAGTAGGAACCATCTTGCCTTGTGGGCTGTGCACAGAGGCAGAGGACTCCCCCAAAACAGCCAGTGCTCTGTCAGGACACCTGCCCCAGAAACACCTCCCTGCTCCGAAGGCTTTGCTGTTCCTCCTGCCCTGGGGTGTTTCTACATGCTGGCCTCCTTTTCCCAACAGGGGATGGCTCCTCCATCATTACACACACACACACACACTTTGTAATCTCCCTGCTGTGCTTTCCCCATGTGCCAGTCATCTCCCAGCCCTTATTCCCATGGGCCCCATGGCAGCACTGTCACCCTGCCCCTCTCCCTCCCTGCTTGGCTTAACGCAGGGTGGGGGGAAACGGGTCCTGGCATCTGCTGTGCCACGCTTACAGATTAACTCTGTGACCCCTCCAGTCAAATAGATGCACTGGGGAAAGCCCAAACCGAGGTAGCTACGCACTGCTTTGGGCACAGAAGGCAAGGTCTATGACAGAGCTCAGGAGCTGATGGCTCCCATTTCCATACCTGGCCTGAAAACCCAGGGATGGCAGCCGTGGTGTCCTCCTGCCGATGACGTGCTCCCAGGTCCCGTTACGTGAATGATGTTGCAGCCTCATCGCCGTGACTGATCTTACCCTATTCCCTCCCAATTTCTAAGCTGTCTTTATCCCCCTCTACACCCCTCTCACACCCCCTTCCCGGCCCATCTGCTTCCTCCTGGGCCAAGAAAAGAGTGTTTGAATTCACACAAGATAACGCTTACTCATGGAGAAAATCACCGCCGACTTCCCCAGCGTCACTCGCACGTGTGCCTGCTCACCAGGGTGGCCCAGGCTGCCCAGCTGGCTCCGGGCATCAGCCGTCCCTCTCTCCATCTCCCCCATCTTTGCCTCCCCTGCCCTTCGTCGCGGTTGTTGATCATTTTTGGAGCAGCAAAAAGGTAAAGCTTGGTGAGTAGTTGGAACTGTTCGCATCGAGAAGCTGAATATGCTTGATAATAGAACAAATGCATAATTAAAGAGCAGAAAAAATGACTCACTGGATAAGGAAATATGCTTTTCTTATCTCCTCTGAAGAGAAACGAAAGCCCCAGGAGCCTGGGACTCGGGCTAACTAAGTGCTTTTATTAAACAAATAAACCAGCAGAGATATATCAAATGAGCTATTTAAAAATTACGTCCTAATCCTGGAGTCGGGAGAGCTCCATTTCCAGGGCAGTGTGCTCCAACCGCGCAGCGGGAGGGCTGGCTCTGGCCGAGGTCGGCTGCTGGGATCCCCACGGAGAGCCCAGCGAGGGACAGGGCAGCGCCGGTGGTCCCGGGAGCGGGGTGGGGACGCATCCCGCGGGTGCTCGTGCACACATGAGCGACTGGACTCGTGTGAGCGGTCCCTCTGGTGTCAGGGGTGGGTGAAGTGACTCACGCACACGCTTGCAGAACCGCCGGTAGCAGAAAATATCCACCGAAAGTTCACCTGGTGCTCGTGTGCACCGGAAACCCAAAGGCTTGTCGATCAGAGAACCGCGAGGTGTTTATCAAGCAGACCCCGTTACCTTGGGACAAACCTCTGCCAGGATGCACCCAACGCCCCGAGAACGCCTCGGCACAGCCCGACGTCCGCCCCGCACCCAGACGGTGCCGCTGGAAGGCTTTGGTTGGAGCCAGGCACGTTCGGCACCTCGCCTCCGCGCTGGTGGGTGGGAAGCAGCCCCTCCTGAATGGTCCCACTACCGCTCTCGGGAGCCGGTTTCTCAGGGCTCCAGCCCAAATGTCCTCCAGAGGATCCGCGGGAGGCACCAGCACGGCCCAGCCTCCGCTTTGCTCTGCCTTCTCAAACAGGGACAAAATCTGGGAAGATTTTAAGAATAAAGTGGGAAAATGAAGGCTTCGAGACATTTACCAACACCCTAAACCCAGACCCCTCCCTTCTTCTCCTTCTAGCAAGGATTTCTGTGGAACCTACCCCAGGAGTTTGGCATGGGGCAGCACCCCAGTGTGCTGAACAGCATTTGCCTCCTCCCCTTCTTGTCTAAAAGCCCCTGGAGCTGTGCTTGTCCCTGAGGTTAAGGAAGAACAAGAGGTGCCCTTGGCTCCCTCTGCCAAGGGGACTTGGACCCCTCCAGGGGTGATGCTGAGCACCCAAATGAGGATTCTGGGGTGGGCTGCCCTTTGAAGACCCCTCCGGAGCTGCAGAGGGAGGGCGGTGGGTCAGCTCAAGCTCCCTCTGCCCATTCCCCCTCCCCTCAGGAGAGCCCAAGGGTGACGCAGCAGCCCTGAGAAGACGGGGGAACCCCCTCTCTCCAGTCCTGACCAGGGGTAGCTGGGCCCTCGACCTCCCCTGCCAGGAGCAGGTTGGGGGGGCGAGCGGGGAGTGTTTCCAGATGGTTTGCTGGCTGTTCCTGCTGCTCTGCAGAGTGCAGGGATGCTGCCCCCATCCCCACTCCAAGGACGGGTGGGAGCTCACGCTGACCCCCCTGCAGGCCTGGTGCCCCCTCGGCTTTGCCCGCAGCGGGTTAGGGAACGTCCGCGTGCCCTGGCAGGGCCGGGCAGCA